TATTGGTGTACTGTCATCTGTACATCATGAGGTTGTTGACCCTACTGGTGTATTGTCATTATTCGTACATCACGAGGTTGTTGACCCTACTGGTGGATTGTCATTATCCGTACATCACGTGGTTGTTGCCCCTATTGGTGTACTGTCATCTGTACATCATGAGGTTGTTGACCCTACTGGTGTACTGTCATTAACAATACATCACGAGGTTGTTGACCCTACTGGTGTACTGTCATTAACAATACATCACGAGGTTGTTGACCCTACTGGTGTACTGTCATTAACAATACATCACGAGGTTGTTGACCCTACTGGTGTTCTGTCATTATTCGTACATCACGAGGTTGTTCATCCTACTGGTGTATTGTCATTATCCGTACATCACTTGGTTGTTGACCCTACTTGTGTACTGTCATCTGTACATCACGAGGTTGTTGACCCTACTGGTGACCTGTCATTATCCGTACATTACGTGGTTGTTGACCCTACTGGTGTATTGTCATTATCCATACATCACGTGGTTGTTGACCCTATTGGTGTACTGTCATCTGTACCTCATGAGGTTGTTGACCCTACTGGTGTATTGTCATTATACGTACATCACGAGGTTGTTGACCCTACTGGTGGATTGTCATTATCCGTACATCACGTGGTTGTTGCCCCTATTGGTGTACTGTCATCTGTACATCATGAGGTTGTTGACCCTACTGGTGAATTGTCATTATCCGTACATCACGAGGTTGTTGATCCTACTGGTGTATTGTCATTATCCGTACATCATGTGGTTGTTGACCCTACTGGTGTACTGTCATCTGTACATCACGAGGTTGTTGACCCTACTGGTGAACTGTCATTATCCGTACATCACGAGGTTGTTAATCCTACTGGTGTACTGTCATTATCCGTAAATCACGATTGTGTTGATCCTACTGGTGTACTGTCAGTTTCCGAGATTATCCGTAATATTCTTGCATGGTTTACATAAAATTCTATTTTCATAATGATTATTTGCTCGAGCCAAAAGTTATCTAAATGGTGTTATAGACAACATTTTTTTCTATAGTCTACTTGCATTGTGAACGCATGTTTCGGAACACTTTTATTTTTAATTTTTTTTGACATTTATCACACTAACCAATTCTGAGTTGACAAAATGACCATATAGTACAGTAAAAATCGATTTAACTTACGTGTATCATTAAATAAACTGTATGATGCAAAAACAACTTCTGGGCGAAAAACAATCTTTCTCATTCGCTTAGGTACTTCTATATTCAGAGTTGAGTCAATCCAAACCGCAAGCTTCATCTCGAACATGGCAAAATTGTTTACCGCAAAAAAACTTTCTTCTTCGAATTTTGTTATCTCTGGTGTAGCCATCTCGCCATGTATAGATAAAATGAACAATAACTGCAGGTTCAAAACGTGTAACCGAAGTGGACCTCCTTGCATAACATTGAAATTGTGTTATAGACAAGAGCTATGCAGATATGGATATAAAAACAATAAAACCATCTTAATAATAAAACTAATATGCACGTGATTATTACTTGTCTTCTCATATTCATTAAACAAAACATGAAGGGATATTACATTATTTTCTATATTTAACTCTAAACAAGTAAAGCAAGGAAAGATATCCTTGTCTAACTCCCTGTACAAAAAAACATATTTTAACACATTTGATTCTTTTGACCTTGAACCAAGGTCAAGATCGCCAACGTTTACCACATAAATAACCATTCACATGAACAAACTACTTGTCAAATAACAAGACCCAAGGACTTTTGATTATGATAATGAAGAAACACAATTTAAAAGAAAAGTGAAGAAATCTATGTGTTTCCTTCTTTTTCAATCAAGATGCTACATGACAAATTTGCCTGTTGCAATTTGTTTGGTATTACTCATGTTGAAAGATACCCATTGGTAGCCAACTTTCAAGCAAGTATGAGAACAGACTTGTTATAGAACTACGCAAAGTAACGTGTCCAAATGGACATGTACAGTCGAAATAGCATATCGGCACAATGTTTCTATTTTGTCTTGGATGACCATATCGACCTCATGTTTCTAAAATTAGATCCGTACATTCTCAAAATTTAGGTCCGTACATGTCATGTCAGCTTCATTTAGGATATGTAACATATAAATTTAGGATTTTTTTTTGTTTCGGTTATGTTAAGTTACACCAAATATCAAAGTTAAGAAACCAAGATCAACCTATTATATAATGTTTCGAAAGGAAAACACACATCCATAGACTTTTATAAGCATTTATAAACAAAAATATAGGTATAACATGATTCAGAATGTAGTTTTGCTTTTAAAGTTCGAGATGCCTATGAAAAAGACCTCCTTTATTATACGTCAGAACATGACTGATAAGCCATTCTCTCACCACATCATACATGTTCCCGTCATAGAATATAATTTTGTTTTTGAACTCGCATCAAAGTTGAAACAATATTAATCGTTGATATTTCATACTTCTACTATGTTAGGTAGATCCTAAGATTTTCTTTAAATAAAATTATGTAGCATGCAATTTTTAATGATTTTTCCTAAATGCATACAAAAGGATTTATTTTGAATACGTCAAATACATTTTAAGTATGACGCAAAAAGTGACACTAGAGAATCTTAAATGCGATTCTTGAAATCGTGAAATCGTTGTCTGAGTGTTAGTCTGATGGAGGGAAACTATTTGTTGTCACTTCACGAAATACCTGTTATTTCATTATCATTTTGTACTTCATTTGCTACTCATATAAGTGTAAAAATACTTATTCAAACGATTAAAAAGTACATCAAACTTCTTCGAATTTTGGAAAATAGATAAATAAGACGTTGCAGGTTCTAGCGTCATGCTACTTCCTTCTCATATAAAAGTATACATGTAAAAGTAAACATGTAATACCAAATTTTTAATTTCACTTCATTTAATTTCCAAATATAATATAAAATGAAACATTCCGAGATACAACTACAAAATACCACAATATACCCAGATATGAGACTAACCTACATGTATATGGCACCAAGTCGTCAATAAAGTGATTTATCCCCCCTAGCTGTACACAGGATCCGTCTAATAGTGAGTAATCCACTCTAGTTGTACACAGTGTCCGTCTAATAGTGAGTTATCCCCCTAGCTGTACACAGTGTCCGTCTTATATTGAGTTATCCCCCTAGCTGTACACAGTGTCCGTCTATTAGTGAGTTACCCCACCCCCAATCCCCACCNAGTTATCCCCCCTATCTGTACACAGTGTTCGTCCAATAGTGAGTTATCCCCCCTAGCTGTACACAATGTTCATCTAATAGTGAGCTATCCCCCTAGCCACGCGTAGCCTATTTGAACGTTGGCATGTCCTTTTAGAAAATGAATGGATGATTTCGGGAATTCAAATGTCTTTCCTTTTATTGCTAATTCATGATAATTCACTGCGACGCCATTGTGTGGTGTTTCAAGCGGACCCCATGTTTGCTCAGTTACAATTGTTAAGATAAATCAGTTTTGAGGAAAGATTGTTTCCGAAAAATATCCAATAGTACTTTTAATATTATAATCAAGAAGCCATTTCCATTTCATCGCTTACATAGCCAAACCAAATAATAGTAAGTTCGGAAAACACTTTTCCATGCTACTTTGGCATTTTCAAAATCATCAACTATGGCAGAACAGTACCAAGGGAAATAATCCAGTTTCATGGCGTTATGGGTCCTCGACTAGGCACCAGGTGCGCGTTTTGTTCGTACAATTTCTCACAAGGTTTGAGAGCCTTATACAAATTGACCATCCGTGCATTGGGTCGACTTATTAGCGTGGAATTCCATAGTTCATACAACTCTCCACGGAGGCAAGGATGTTGGCGCTCCTTGCTGACTAAAAATAGACATTGCGCCGTGCATTCGTTACTTGAGCCACACGTGGCGATGGTTGTGTTAAAGTGGGCGTCATTCTCTATGCTATCAAGAAATGATTGGTAGTTACAGCCCATAACTGCCCCTGTCGTCTCGAACAGACACAAAGGCACGTGCTTGTAACCAAGACAGGTTGGGTTGGTCCAGTTCTCCTTTGGGTAGTACATGAGTTGGGCACGACATATTTCGTCATCCGGTGACAAGCCCCTATCGACTGGTTTCGTCTCCTGCGTCGAGTTGAATTCACAGATCATGCGAATTGAATCTCCCGGAAGTACTTTGATGGGATTGAAATGTCTGCAACAAACAAAATAATACAGTAAGGTCGAAAAACTTACAGGAAACAAACGCATGAATAGAGCCATAAAACCTACTAGAAATACGAATTAGGTAATAATCTATTTATAATTCAGTATTTATAATTCAGTGTGTCGTCCAGAAATAAAACAAAGTTAACATTGTAATGCAACAAAAAGACATGTAGCTTATCAGATGTATCTACACTCAAAGGAATGAAAATCAAGGTCTCAAGTGTTTCGAAATATACGTAGAATACAGCGAAAATGTACAGAACACAAAAAAAATCAGGTTATTTGGATTGTTGCCTTCTAATACTCTTTACATTAAGATATAGATAAGTAAACATTCACATAATCTGCTTAAGATCAGTAAAACTCAATATTTCTTTCATTTAGATTAGAAACCTCAGATATTCTCATTCGGATGACGATAACTCCATCAATTTTGATATAGATCAAGAACACTACAGCTATTCTGATTCAGATCATGACATCATCGCATAATCGATAACGTGCGAAAAAAATATCATCGTTAAGAAAACTCCATTCTTATTTACACAACAAAAATCAAGATATATTGATTTATGTAAAAATAAACTACGGATATTCTAACGAAGATCAAGAACCTACAATCAAGATTAATATCAAGAAAACGCCAGCTATTCAGATTGAGATCAATACAAACTTCCCGTTAAGATAATGAAACCCAAGTCATCCATATATAGATTCCGATTTCGCGGCCATAGACACAATAAAATCATGCTTCGTGATACGGTGTTTCAACGATGGTAGTCTACCAAGACTACCGTATGACCCTGTATGACTATTGCTGATGAGCTTTCAAGACTACCGTATGATACTGTATCACTATTGCTGATGAGTTCTCAAGACTCCCGTATGATACTGTATGACTATTGGTGATGAGCTGTCAAGAATACCGTATGACCCTGTATAATTATTGTTGATGAGCTGTCGGTCCCCCAGTCATATAAAGCAGATATATTTGTCACTGGGGGAAACAGGTAAACATTTTAAAGAAAAAGGGGCAACTTTTGAGATCAGCGGCCATCCTTAACGTCTCGTACACATTCACTTTCCCGTAGATATTCTAACGAAGATCAAGAACCTACAATCAAGATTAATATCAAGAGAACGCCAGCTATTCAGATTGAGATCAATACAAACTTCCCGTTAAGATAATGAAACCCAAGTCATCCATATATAGATTCCGATTTCGCGGCCATATACACAATAAAAGCATGCTTCGGGATACGGTGTTTCAACGATGGTAGTCTACCAAGACTACCGTATGACCCTTTATGACTAGTGTTGATGAGCTGTCAAGAATACCGTATGATACTGTATGAATATTGCTGATGAGTTGTAAAGCCTACCGTATGATACTGTATCACTATTGCTGATGAGTTCTCAAGACTCCCGTATGATACTGTATGCCTATTGTTGATGAGCTGTCGTTGACTAAGTCATATAAAGCAGATATATATGTCCCTGGTGGAAACAGGTAAACATTTTAAAGAAAAAGGGGCAACTTTTGAGATCAGCGGCCATCCTTAACGTCTCGTACACATTCACTTTCCCGTAGATATTCTAACGAAGATCAAGAACCTACAATCAAGATTAATATCAAGAGAACGCCAGCTATTCAGATTGAGATCAATACAAACTTCCCGTTAAGATAATGAAACCCAAGTCATCCATATATAGATTCCGATTTCGCGGCCATAGACACAATAAAATCATGCTTCGTGATACGGTGGTTCAACGATGGTAGTCTACCAAGACTACCGTATGACCCCGTATGACTATTGTTGATGAGTTGTCAAGACTACCGAATGTTACTGTATCACTATTGCTGATGAGTTGTCAAGACTACCCAATGATACTGTATGACTATTGCTGATCAGCTGTCAAGACTACCGTATGACCCTGAATCACTATTGCTGATGAGTTGTCAAGACTCCCGAATGATACTGTATGACTATTGCTGTTGAGTGGTAAAGACTACCGTATGATACTGTATGCCTATTGTTGATGAGCTGTCGAATGATACTGTATGACTATTTCTGATGAGCTGTCAAGACTGCCGTATGACCCTGTATGACTACTGTTGATGAGCTGTCAAGAATACCGTATGATACTGTATGAATATTGCTGATGAGTTGTAAAGCCTACCGTATGATACTGTATCACTATTGCTGATGAGTTGTCAAGACTACCCAATGATACTGTATGACTATTGGTGATGAGCTGTCGGTGACTCAGTCATATAAAGCAGATATATTTGCCCCTGGTGGAAACAGGTAAACATTTTAAAGAAAAAGTGGCAACTTTTGAGATCAGCGGCCATCCTTAACGTCTCGTACACATTCACTTTCCCGTAGATATTCTAACGAAGATCAAGAACCTACAATCAAGATTAATATCAAGAGAACGCCAGCTATTCAGATTGAGATCAATACAAACTTCCCGTTAAGATAATGAAACCCAAGTCATCCATATATAGATTCCGATTTCGCGGCCATAGACACAATAAAATCATGCTTCGTGGTACGGTGTTTCAACGATGGTAGTCTGCCAAGACTACCGTATGACCCCGTATGACTATTGCTGATGAGGTGTAAAGACTACCGTATGATACTGGATGACTATTGCTGATGAGCTTTCAAGACTACCGTATGATACTGGATGACTATTGCTGATGAGCTGTCAAGACTACCGAATGATACTGTATGACTATTGTTGATGAGCTGTCAAGAATACCGTATGACCCTGTATGACTATTGTTGATGAGCTGTCGATGACTCAGTCATATAAAGCAGATATATTTGTCCCTGGTGGAAACAGGTAAACATTTTAAAGAAAAAGTGGCAACTTTTGAGATCAGCGGCCATCCTTAACGTCTCGTACACATTCACTTTCCCGTAGATTCTCACGAGACTTACCTTATTATGTCGGGTTGGGTAGGGTCGAAGTTATCACTCTTCGTCAGGTAGTCGATTATAGTGTTGTTTCTTATTAGTTCCACTCTTTGCTTTCTTCCTGGAGATTTTATAAAGAGGACATTGAAATACCCTAGAGCAATACCCTGCAGATTTGTAACTCAACACCAAGCACAACGTAAAGCGGAAGTCGTCGTCGTTATAGAAAGACATACGAAAACAACAGAAATGGAATGATTTCTTATGCTTACAACAAAAGAAACATACGATTTGATGTATCCCATCAATTGATGGAGAGTAAGATTCATAAACAAGGAACAATTTTCCTACATTCGTTTTTAAATTTCATGTCTTAGTCCGTAATATGTAATGTCACAAATTTATAAAAAAATATATATATATATAGTAGATAATAAATAAATAAGTCCTTGCGAAGGAAAATATAGAAAAAAAACAAATTTTTCAGATCGTCCGCTGAATTTATGAATTTTCTTAAGTTCATCATCTTACCTAATTTATGCATCTGGTTGATTCCCATAACGATGTACACCTCTTTTGTAATGCGTTTGCTCGTACACATTCCAGGACATCCTCCCATGACCGGATAGGATTCAATACCTGGAGGGATCTGGAACACTGTGGAATCTATGGTGGCGAAACCGGCAACGTTAGGCCGCAGGTTAGGGGTCAGGTACACCGCCATTCCCGAGCTATCCTGGTAGTCCAGGCCTAACGGATTGTTCCACAGTACCTACAAAAGGAGATGAGGGTATGATACCAGGCTAAACGTTCCGACACTTCATGGCATTTCAAAAAACACTCTTAATCAGGTTCAAAGAACATTTGAGGTTATAGGTTAGTATCGGAACCACAGGCATGCGGTATCTCATTTCACCAGCGACATTTTCAGTTGTCGACAGTCATGAATGAAATGACTGTCGAATCGCCAAGATTCCTTATTCATCTTCTGCAAACAAAGTGATAAATGAGCTTATAGTTCGATTGTTAGAGAATAAAATTCGACTTTTCAAAGTCATTAGTGGCAAACGATAGTCATTAATAAATAAGTTACAGGCTATCATTTTTGAAAACAAAGTTTCTGTTATGTGTCTGTAGCCAGCTAAGCTAACATTGACAAATGTCTTTACCTATATATGGAGGAGGATCACAACATGACAACGTGTTTGACTTTATATTTTGAGATCAGATAATTAGTTGTTAACATCAACCAATTTCTGATCAGTGACAAGATATAGGCTACTGATTTATTCGATAAAAATCACGCCAGCGTATTACGTTCTACTCAATGTTTTGCTTACCACCCTACCGCTCCACAGCCCCAACGCCCCAACGCCCCACCGCCCCACCGCCCCAACGCCCCAC